AGTCTGTCGCCTCATATGCCATTAACATCAAACTGCCGGTAATTTTAAACTGGTATTATTAAAACAGTGATACGTCCAAGCCCAACATAAATCTTACAACGCTAGAGGTGTAATAAGGAGCAATTCTTTTTTTAGACCTTTTTCTTTCCAAAAAGTTTTTTTTGGTTTATTAATAATTCACCACCACTTTCTGTTTAAATGTCTTTCTTTAGTGTTCTGTATTACTGAGCACACTTTTTAAAAGTTCTATGTTAGCTTTCAAAAATCCTGCTTTTAATAGTCTTTTAACTGCATTGAGCCCTAATAGTGCTCTTAAAGGGCGAAGGAATAATTGGTGAAGCGTCTTATTTAAAGATTTTTTGTGTCTTAGAAGCACGAACTGTTCCTGCCTGTAGATCCTATTAGCTGTCATCAACTTTTCTTTTTTCAAGCGTATTTTTCAGGTTTTGCTTCTCGCTTTTTTATTCAAAGGTAAGCAAAACGCACATGTTTTTTTCGCAGTAGCTATTACTTGCTTCCGTCATGCATCACGAAGCTGGTTCCCTTCAAACATCGGCAACCGAAATTTAAATTAGTAATATAGCGAAGACGAAATTTGGGACCGGACAGGGAAGACAATGGTTAAAAAAGCAATATGCATATCTACAGGCCTACATGTATGTAGCATACAGAAATATCTGAGGATTCAAAGGATGAATCTTCAAAAGTACAAGAGAAGTGCACTGTATTTTTCAAACCTGTATTAATTAAGTGCGCAAGCTCTAATGAAGGTAAATTACTTTCAAAGAAATTTTTTTCTAAGGTAAGCGTTTGAAACAGTGCCTAGAACGGAGTTTAATCGCAATAATTTTTTTAAAGCAATTTTGAAAAGGACCCACCATGTTTATTACTCTAAGAAATACAACGTCAGCAGAATCATATTACGAGTAGGGTTGGAAACTTATAATTATTTAGGCAAAGTTTAGCATAACATAACGCGAAATATTTCAGCAAAAAAAGTAGTTTCGTTTCAAAATTTGTTTAGTATATCGTTGAATTTTAACGCTACAAATTTCATCCATATTTTGTGCTCATTTCCCTAAGCTCATTCTTAATTGCAGTCTTACCCACCAGTAGCAGTTCCGTAATAATAAATTTATTTTTGTGTCCTTCTTTAAAATAAGCGTCAAATTGTTCCTTGATTCAGTATGGTGCATACCATATCTCGAAAAACTAGTTGTTTTTTGAGATAACCTTTGATCGAGATTAGCTTCACATCTCTCTCTTGCATTTCTTTTGTCCTATTGACGTCTGACTGCACCCCACTATATATAGGCGCCGTCATTTCTAGTTTCCATTTCGTGGCAGTACCAGAGTTACCGTAGTATGGCCGGCCAGCAAGTTTTTAAAATGTTGGCCACTGGTCAAGTTGGACGCTGTTTACCAAGTTTATT